TCCTTGATGAAACAGCAGAATAACCGATTTCACGTTTTCTTTTTTGCCGTGGAAACTTTGCTCTTAGTTAATACACTGCACTGTTGATAATACTCTCGACTCGTTACTATCCAATAAGTAGCTAATCAGAAACTACTTCACTAAGAGACTTCCCCCGGGAAGAAAGTTATTAGTTTTTCGAGGAAAATTTTGCAAAAGCAGTATTTTTTGCATGATTTTTTTCATCTGATATTAATTGAAGTTTTATTCATCAAAATTTAAATTAATATCTAAAAAAGTTTTTCTGGTGGAATATTATGTATGAACTTTTCCCCCTTTTTCATAATTAAGAAGTTGAATTTTGTAATCATATCAGTAGCGAAGTGGTAAAACGGTTTATGTCGACTCATCTCCCAGTCGAGTTTTTCAGGAATATTTCCGAATCTAAGGGAGATAGCGAAATTTTCGTGATTACACTTGTTGTAGCTCTCAATTGACTCTACGAAAAAGGTTACAACGAAAATTTTGCTGTCTCCCTTAGATTGCGAGATATTCATTGAAAACTGGTCAATAGTCAAAATTGACTCGAACCGGTTTATCACTTCGCTACTGATATTCAAAAAACTATTCTAAAATTTATATGTTGGAGATTTTTTTCAAGTTTAATTTTGCGTTATAGAAAGAAAGAAATCTCTAATTTTCCTGGGTCAGATGCAGTTTGACCTGTACAATCGAATGCCTGTGGAAAAATCATGCAACATATAGTCCTTTCAAAAATTTTTCCTCAGAAAATGGAACTTTTTTTTCCGGGGTGAATTTCCCCTTTTTCTATTCGTGGTTATATCCTAAACTCTAAGAGAGAGAGAGAGAGAGAGAGAGAAAGAGAGCCAAGCGCCATAGGTGAATCTCCCGCAATTTTGGTAGCCATTAGTAGTTCACTGAAATTCTAGTTGCACAAACTACAACTAAAATCAGAAGGATTAAAACCGGATCGTGATTTTCAAATGAATAATCCTGAGCTTTAACTCGGTATGAATGAATATTCAATTGAGTGCGGAATTCATATTTCTCAATCCATATGACTCAACTTTTCATTCTGAAAGTTCTGACAAACAGCTTTGTAGGTGTAAAAGTAAATTAACTTTCCCAGGATTAATATAACCTCTTTATCTCAAGAAAGAATACTCTGTTCAGACACAAGATTAAGTAATATGAATACTTGAATATTACAGCCGGAGAGGTCTCCATGAAGATTGCGAGATGAAAAGAATGAAGAATAAGGGAGGAAATGCATATCTCAGTTTGGATGGATGGGATTGAAATGGAAGTTTGCAGTGGAAAAATTAGTGGATTTTCTCGCGATGAGATTTTTAAACTTTTCAACTTTCTGCGCGGACTGTTGACTTCGTGACGCTGTAAAAAAAACAATTTCATTTATTTTTAACGGAATTTGTCACAAGAAGCTTGGGACTGGCCAGCGCTCCGAAGCCCTTCAGTCTCGTATTTATTGACATTTACATATATCAATTTTTCTCTATAACTTATTCTATTGAGATATGTTCTATAAAAATGTCTGTCTAAATTTTCATTTTTTTTGTTAGAACCCGTTGTATAGAACTATTAAATTCTATCGATTTTTTCCACAAAATATTTTCTACTGGAAAACCCGTATAGTAAAACTGTGGAAATTTTACATTGAATCGGCGAAAAACTATACTGTTAATTTTTTTTGGAAATTTGTATGTGTATGTCAAATGACATGAATTTCCAATTTTTCCCCGAATTTTCCTGATTTTTCTGAAATTTCCGGAATTTGGCACGAAAAATTCAGACGAAAATTTTTAACAGTGTAATAGAATTCCTAATGAAAGTTCAACAGAAGTCCTACAGAATCTTCATCGAATCAGCTCTGTTTTTCTCGCGATGAGATTTGTGAACTTTTGAACTTTCTACATAGACTGTTGAATCTCGGCCGTAATTCAACCATTTTAAAGTGTCATCATGATTGAATATCATGCCCCTGTAAAGAGACACCCCAATGAATGCGAGAGAAACCGGAAAATTAGAAAATATTGGAGCTAAGGCGTGCAGTATGTAATGGCTGCAATGCATTTTACGAGAGTAATATTACATAATTAGTCAGGTCCCGACCCAACGTACGTGATGACCACCGAGTCATGAGTGCGCTCGGTGTAATTCCGTGAGTATTTCAAGCTCCAAGTTGAGAAGGAAGAGCATTTATCACAGTGGTTAGATACGAAGTACGTGGGGGCACTTTGTTACCCTCTCCACAAATTCTCTAATATAATAAATTGTTGATTTATGGAATTCCCGAGAAGAATGGATTGCTGGTGTACATGGAATTGAACTGTTGTGGCGTAAACCGACTTTATCGCTCAACGGCAAACGGCATATTCTACGGAGCTGAATGTAATGTGGGTTATAATGCGGTAAATCGTAAAACCGGATGGAGGTATTTAATATCGCTGGATTTATACGTCGAGAACAGAAATTTATAAGAGTAGAGACGGCAGCAAGAACTGACCATCAAATTTTTATAGTATTTTTATAAAATCTTGACGATGAGAGATGAAAAAATATTATGAAACCTCGTTATCCGCATTTATCACGAATAACTCGCGGTTTTTAACGGATTATCACAACTGATTGATGAATAAAAAATTATCAATCGATTTCACCGGCGAATATTTATGACAGCAAGGGAATCACCAACTTTAAAAGACTCTAAACTTGTTTTCTATTGAAATTTCCATTTCATTTATGTTCAATTTTTTACTGTACCTTTTAACGCCCTCTTGGAAACTATAAAGGCCGATGCACCTAGGAAAATACGAAGACGCAGACACTGAAGTAGTGCTTTTCGTCGCGTGGATATTAAATTTATCGTTTCACTGGGTAACTGCCGATTCAATGGTGCTACCAGGCGTTTCATACGATAACGCCTTGATTCTATGAGCCGAAGGTACCAAACCACCTACCGTCTCCAGCGCTCATAGATTATCCTATGCACTTGGCCTGACGTTGTCTTGAACATACGTCATTGGCACCTCTTGGTGCCATGCATACCCTGTACCACACACGTACGTCTCATAATATATCGATCCACTCTATCCACAATGCCATTGTGGCAAATCCCGATACCATAGATCCAACTCGAGTTGTGGCACAGCAGTTAGTCGCTCCTTATGGTGTGATACACTGCTAAGAATTCCCGGTTGAAATTTCCGGTAGACGTCTCGAGAAATTTTTTATCGACTTGTAGTTTCAGTGAGATTTCGGGGCATTTTATCATTGAAAATTTAAAATGTTAAGAAAAATGAAGGGAAACTGCACAGAGAAAAAAAAATTTGTTATGGCCAGGGACATGTCACAGACTTTTTAAGATATTACAGTAAATCTCATGAGATTGACATTGAATCGGATTTAAAATTTCATAACTTGATTGAATTTTCAGTGGAACATGAATATTCAGAAACAAAAGGACATGAATTTTCAATTTTTCCCTGAATTTTACTGAATTTTCACAAAATAATTTAACTGAGAAATCAAGTATTTTATTGATTTGCAGATCATTTGAACAGAAAATCAATGGAATATTTGACTTTTCAATGACAAGGGTTCCTGAAATTTCAGTGGAAGTTGAGTACGATAAAAATTACCGGAATTTGGCACGGAAAATTCAGATGAAAATTGTTAACAGTGTAAAACCCTAAAATAATAAAATTGTCAGTCATTTCTATCCTAGGAATTTGAAGATAGATTAAAAAATTACTGACAATGACTCAAAAAATTGGTGATCCCGGACAAGTAGTGATTATCGCCTGCAAAATAAAAACTTCTGACATTAAAACATTCAGGTTTAATTTTTAATTTTTACCCAAAAAAAGACCAGACACATATAGCGAACTGAAAAGATCTTCAATCTTTACGAAAATAGTCTTCTGAGAGACCTCTTGCTTTCCGCTGTTCATCAAAAACAAGAACACTTGCTTTTCCACGCGTAAGACGCAAAGCTCAAGAGGTCGCTGTATGCAAGACTACCCCGGCTTTTTGAACCGTTTTTAATGAGTATTTGTTAATTAACATTACAGACGGTTGAGGCTGTACGGTGAATAATGAGGTGGCAAGTTCCCTGTTTACACGAGAGAAAACAAAGGGTAATTAAAAAAACCGCTTCGCCAAGGGCAGGGATTTTTCAAAAATTCTTCTGGTGTAGGAAGAAAATGTTGAGGTTTCTCTGGGAAATATTGATTTATTAACGACGGTGAAATTGGGTTTCGGAGAGGTCGATCGGTTTTCTTACACCGATGATAACTCAAGATATATGGTTTCTACAGAGTTTTCAACTTGGTAAAAGTTGATACGAAATATTTGGCACAGACAGAACAAGTTTTTATGGCTCGTGAACATCGATTTGCATTCAGAACTCGAGTTCGCTCATAACATTTTATCATGAGATATTGCGCATAAATATTATTCCCCTGTCCGCATAAAAAGTCCCCACTCGATCAGTGTATTTGGCTACTTTCGAGGGGTGCGCCCGATGAATCGAAGCCCACCGGGCAATGTATGTTTTCCGCTTCCATGTGGGCGACCACAGAATGCGAAAATTTCGATTCAGTTCTCCCCTCGTCACTTCATATTTCTCGAAATATCAATTTCCCGTTATACTCCATCTGGAGGGTTTAAAGAACGAGACGATGATCGGATCCCTCTGGGATGTCAGTTCTCCAATTAAAATCTCATTTGTCTTATTTTTTATATATTTAATGAGGACTGCTATTCAAATCTCCGTTGGAACGTCGTATCCTCACAATATTGGCAGTCTGCCAGTATTCTCGAGTGTTTTATAATAGATCACTATCTCAGCATCAGCATCCTCTCGTTTTATTTAGTAAAATAATGAAAAATCGGGCGCTCGTTCATGGAATTTAGGATTGAAGATTGAAACTGAAAATCAACATTCCTCTGTAGAAGATTAATCACTTTAATTTCCCAATCTCTGGAATTTTATTCATAACCCATAACATTCAGTTTACCACCACACAACCTGCCTTTAGATACATTTCAATAATCACATGACAATAATTTTTTTCTGTATATTCACATTGGACAATTGATAGTTGATATTTTCGGGAGATTCGAGTATCTGACTTCCCTCTCCACTCTATCACAACGTCCCAGACTGTGGAGCACAAGTTAATTTTATTGAATAACAGCTGTTCTTGATTTACATATCTATCCGTTTATTGGAGCATTCGATAGAATTATTATAATCCAGAAAATTTTCAACACTATTTCCATCATTTGTGCTTTATACACTCTTCCAAATTAATTCAATTCACATTTTCAATTATTTCCGATAATGTAATTTTCAATAGCACTGACGAGCTGAATTTATGCAGAAGAAATTTTACAATGTGCACGTAATTGTACACTTGATATGACTCCAATATACCGAAAAATCAATGTGAATGGATTCAACTTATCATCAATTCCGACCCACACATCACAAAATTAGACGTATTATACATTGTATGTACAGATATTTGTCATTATTTCTAGTGACATGAGCAATTGTCAAATATCATGGATTATCATTCCCAAAAGTTCCATGAATTTGCTACAACGATTTTACAACCTGGATCATTGACTTCCTAAAATATTCTTTGCAATCCGTAGTCGTCATCCAACAATTTACTCATCATAAGGTATTGAACTGAAAAATATAAACAGCAAGAACATCCTGCTGTTTTTTTACTTCAGTATCAAGAATAAAGAAAACCTTGGATTATCCGTCGTGGCTACAATCTCTCTCCATCTCCTATACTCTCCAATTCTTGTTCATCGCCAATGCATGCCATCGATTGGAAAATCCTCTACAAGATCGTTGAGAGTAGAATTATTTACGTTCCCGAGATACGTAAAGATACAATCTTTAATTGAAAACTCGAGTTTCATCGGGATAGAGCAAATTGTTGGTTCAAGTGGGGTTTCCAATGTATTATAAAACTTCACTGTTCCTCGGGGATGAGAAAACTAAAGCCATATCTTCCGAAGGTTGCTTCACATTGGGAAAAAATATAATAGTGACAACAGAACCAGACCAAGCAAATCCTGGATGATATTAGACTTCAGTCGGCAATATCAGCCAGCGATCACAATCCTATTGTTCAAAGGCTGACAATCGCGAGGGGTTCCTTCATTGGGGCTCAGCTAGAGGCGCCCGTCGAGACCGTGGCCTTTGACAATCGTGCATACCAATGAAAACAAATACCTCTCATTCCCGTAATTACAATTCTCATCCTAAATTACAACGATTCAAATTGATATGTACAGCAACCCAATGAATTAAAGTGAACGCCGGAATTCGTGCGATTCATACTGAAGCTGAAAGGAGAACAAACTTTCATCAGGTCAGACATAATACGAAAGATCTCTCCTCTACTCGGCTATCTATTGAGAATCTCTCCATTGTCTTTCAAATGAAAGCTTGCTCATTTCCTTCAATTACGTCTCTCGTGTTATTCAGCAAAAATATTCCACTCCGTAAGGATTTAGTCACAGATTATATACAAAATTGTACATTAAGGTTAGAAACTAATTAAAGTAACACGCATATATCTGTTAATCCCACTTTAACTTCAATATTTCCTTCAGAATCTCTCAAATATATTGTGAAGAAATGTTTTATAGATGAAGTATTCATCATTATATACATAAAATTGTTCACAACCATATGTACATTGTTATTCACAGGGGCCAATGGGTGGCCATAAAATTCTTCAAGTCCGGAAACAAGTTCATCACACAATAGATATTTAGTTAAATATTATGTAAGCCGCTGGATGTCTTTTTATACGTTATTATTTTATCTGTCACTTGAATAAAATGTCTGCTAGGAAGCGCGATATAAAAAAGAAGGGAGCAATTCAGTAATAGATAATAAACTATACATTTTATGTACATTCAATCATACTTCACGGAATATCTCCCCGCAACACTCAGATAAAAATACTTCAACCAATTTCACACGCATAAAATAAACTACACATCTCCCCATGTAACGGAACTAATTGAGCTAAAAGACTGGAAATGTAAAGCACTTTAAATAATACTATCAGTCGAGCCATTTTCAATATTGAACTCTCAAACTCATACGAGTCGTTAAAAACTGATGACATTCAATTACTCAAATTAAACAATCACTTCTTCCGAGTATCTGCTATTGTCCTCAAGATTTATAACAATGGGAAGTGTGGGTGGAGGGGCTGATTTTTTTACCTTCGTGTCTTCATTGTCCTCGGTATCTGCCTCACCAATAATCTCACCATTATCCGTCGCAACAAGCGACTCACTATTGTCCAAAGTTGTTTTGTTAACATCACAATCACTGATATTTTGCTTGTTATCATCGACATTCTCGTTGATCTTTTCATCACAAATTTTAGCAATGTCTTTGTCCTTTGATGTCGACGGCACTTCATCACTCCCCTGCGAATTGTCTTTCTCTGTCGACTTTTGGCATAATAATTTCTTCGACTTACCATTCTTCGCTTCTGCCTCGCGATAACTCTCCACACCCGACTCACTTCCACTCTTGAAGAGCAGAGTGGATTCTTCAACAGTCGTGACACTTATGTCATTCAATCTCAAGGTCGAGGAGATTGCTTGAATCGTGGATATCTGGGTTTCAGCACGGTTAGCTGCCTCCTGCATCGCCAATATTTTAGCCGTCAAGTGTCGATTACCCATGCGCATATTTTTCTCTTTGAGTATCTCGAGTTGAGCAGAAAGACGTAGAAATTCTTCCTGTAATTACATGCCAATTAGTCTTGTGTTTTTTAAAAATTCTATTCTTCCACTTTGTCTTTTTTTCTCTCCCTGCATTCAGCTATTGATTTTTTTTTTCAATGCAGTTAATGGGTTTTTACGGTGGGAACAGCTGCACTGTTTGTGAGAGGCTATTGAGATATCACTAATCAGTGAATGCTCAACACCTTCGTGACTACAAATTAATTAAAATTTAATCTTTAATAATTTTATGTAAAGGTAGTTCCACGACTGCCATGTGCAGATGATCTGTATTATGGCATTTTCTTACCATCATACCGTCTCCTTCCTCAGTGAAATTAGCCTGTTGCAAGGAAATTGAGTTGGTTTGGTTACTGGCCTTCTGCGCCCGACACGTTTTGCCAATAAATTTGCCCGTCGTGCCTGGAAGCTTTCCAATTGCGTCCTCCTTACCGCCACCACGAAATACGACGTAAGCCTATGGATAAATGGACACAAAGTTTGTAATTCAACTCTCAAAAAGTTTTTCGGTAATTCATCAAAAGCAATACCTGACCTACATGAAAATATCATAAACGGAGGAAAAAAATCAGAACCTCATAAAGAGGTTCAAAATTACGACTGAATTTCCGCACTCAAAGTGGTCATTAGGACTTTTTACTAAAGCTCTAGTGGAAAGTGCGGCTCTAGCAAACATTTCAATTTTTTGGGGGAATATCGATGAAAATATTGAAATTTTTAGACGACTTATCGCATTTTTAAAAATTCTGACAAAAATACTGAAAGGCCACGACATCACATGATTATGAAAAGGCTGAGGATACATTTAACGGATTTTTCTCTCCTCGGAAATAAGGATATTATTTTTTTGAAAATTCACATACAAACATATGTTAAGGATGTTCTACACCCTTTCTGCCAAAATTCACGTTTTTTTAATTTTTCTGGCAAACTTATGATGCAATTGACGTGAAAAAATATAACGTTTTTGCGTTTTGTCATTATTTAATGACTGACGAAATTTTAAGGTGGTGCGAACATTTTCCTGCGTTTTCTCTAAAACGCATGAAAATTATCGCACCACTACGCAACTTCGTGAGCCATTAAAGAATGACAAACCACAAAATCGTTATATTTTTTCATTCACTCCCATCGATAATTTGCCAGAAAAATGAAAACAACGTCAATTTTGGCTAAAAGGGTGTCGAACATCCTTAAAAAAATCTGGAAGACTTCTTACCTTGCTACCGAATATCAAACAGAGTAGGAGAGTGACAGTCAGTTGTGTGTGGCAGAAGAAAATGATGTACAATAAGTCTGGATTGGCGGGTGACTGGAGAAATAGCCTGAAACACATGGTAATATCACAGGAAAGGATCTGCAGGAAGCTATCAACAAAGTCGATGACAAACAAGCGATGAATGAAGCACAAAAGCCGAGTTTCATTTCGTGATGATTCACTTGTGATTGAATTGTCGTTGCAATGGCAGGTGAAAATATTAAGGAAATGAGAATAGCGTCCACAAGGCACCATTCACTAGGGAACGTGCTTGAAGTTGAAGGCAGATCAATTTATCTCATACGTACACTCCAAAATGGGATATTTGATGGGTCAGTCATTTCATCCATTCTTCCGAAGAAAAATCCGGAAATTGGAATATATTTACCGATCGAAGAAGGCGATTTGTACGGAACTATTAATAAAATAGATGACACGAGCTGTGAATAAAGCACCCGAGTTCAATTCCCTGATCACTGACTTCTGTTGACATTGTCGTTTCAATAGAAGTTCAACCAGATTCAGGAAATGAAGATACCTCCCACGAAGGAGGATTTACTACGAAACGTTTTTTACTACGAAATTTGTGTCCTTGTACTCTAATGCACTATTGGTACATTAGGAACTTCCCTAAATTCATATATAACAGTGGATCAACCGCGTGCGCCACAAGGAGAGGGCCATTCAAATTTTGTAGCGCAGAAGTAACGTGTACAGCCATTTACTCGGGGGTTGGTGCCGACAGTAAAATTCATGCGGTAGCACCTAACATGGAAATAGTACGGAAGCAAATATACTGCATTCATGGCCCTTGCGGTTACGGTAGGTGGGGATAACATCCCGTTTCCGATTGTTCTCGCGCGTGAGTGCATTTATGGTTATGAATTTATCGGGTAAAAAATGAACATGTAGGTGAAGGTTACGCACGTGAAAAATTGGATTAAACATCCATTTACTCACATTGAAACGTTCAGGAAGACTGACAGGAGGAATTCGTTGTAAATAGCCATTGAGATGAAACGGCTCTCGTTGAATTCTGACGGTGCTTTTCTGACAACAATGCACAGTCTTATTCCCCACACCAGGAACATCACTTCAACTGAAAGTATAAGATATTCAAGGTTTTTATCATGAAGGACTTGATGAAAGGAAAATATTAGCCTTTGTTCTGTGGCAGATAGTGCTTCAGCTTCACGGTTCAATTCTTCGGCTGTTTTTTTTTACAATTTTGAGGGAATTCTCTTGATGAAGAATATTCTACGATGGGTAAGCCGTCTCCTTAATTAAACCTTATTTCTCCGCCATGTTTCAATTATGATAGCCGGCGCATTCATCTGAGAATGGAAATGGGAAAAAAATCCAGCGCTATCTGTTTTCCATCTCAAGTGCTCTGCTCCGTTGAATTTTAATGAAAGATCGCGAGTTACCTGTGGTCTTACTTACGATTTTTATCCCCAGTTCTTAGCTCGACACGCTTTGCGTACAATTATACAATACCGATTATTATGTCTTTCTCTCATCCGATCGCATTTTAAAATCTTTTGTAAATAATAGCGCATTCGCAGAATCACTGAGAAAGTAAGTTTTGATTTTCAAGAAATGTCACTGATCTTCAGAAATTCATCCGCAGTCATTTTTATTGATATCGTGACCAAGTTTTAGAGACATTATCACTAATATTCACAGTAATATCACTGATTTTTAAGAATCCATCTTGAATTGTTGGAAATGTAACCCTAAATTTCAAGGGTAAAAATCACTGGTAACTAGTGTCATTCTACACAGCAAAAACGAATGTCTGAATTTCATACACCTTTTGTAGACATTTTTCAGGCACTAAAAACGTCTGTATAAAATAAAAATGTGTCTGAATATTACACGAACAGGTGCCCAAACATCTTAATTCATGTTTGAAATTCAGACAGTCGTTTTTGCTTTGTAATCAGTGGCCATTATCACCAACAATTGGTGATAGATTCCTGAAAAATGAATTTCAGTGACATATCTCTGAAAATGAAAATTTTTCTCTCTGTGAAAGTTTTAAAATATATTCCTTGACCAGCCTTCAATCTTTCCCAGTCACTAAATCTTTTCAGAAGCATTTCCTCCCACAATTGTCGGAATACCCAATCAGCCCTGTCTACATTAAACCCCTTACACTCTTCTCATCAACTAGCTAATTGCAACCGATAATGATCTTTTTAATGAGGCGAGTTGAACGGGTCATAAAGAATCCGGAACGGCCGATGAGACAGTTACTTCGAAGGACTGCGTACTCGTAACATTTGATTGGCCGGCTGATAGGATTGTAATGAACCAAATGATAAAAAGAGAGATATTAAAGGGATAATAAGAGCAGTAATGGAAAAATATACACTACCCCTCAATCGTTCCATAAAAATCGATGATGGAGAGCACTTGTTGCTCGCCACCCCGAGCCGTCTTTTTTGATGTGGCCATGTCTGTTGGTTCATATATCAGGGGTCATTTTGCAAAAGTACGCTATGTAGCAGCGCATATAGAGTTACGGTTTGGGGCAATGCCCATATTTATCTTGTGCCAACACTATTTTTCAAGAAAATATGAATTGCAATAATTTTGATGTGATTATTTGACCTTTTTAAAATTACTGTTATTATTCCGAGGAGGAGGGAGGAGACTCGGTTCTATGATGAAGAAGGAGGGAGGCATGTGTAGATGTAAAACAAAGAAAAACTTGTGTAACATCGAAGAAATAAAGAATTGAAATTGAATTGCGATAATTTTATTTCAAATTACCCCAGAGAGAAAATTCCTCAATTTATTGAATGATCAAATTTTGAGGTTGTCTAAAACGTGTTAAAAAATGATAAAACTCTACAGTTTGAGAGATTTAATAAACGTATGCAAACGCCGATACTAGTAAAATCCAGTAGCTGAAATCTACTATTCCATAAAAATTAATAGAAACCACGCGAATTCAGGTGAATGTATTCTTGAATATTTAGTTAGTTAGAAATTATGCACAATATTGTGCTGAATATTCATGTATTGATTGAAAATTCAAGTGATTAGGAAATCCTCGTATTTTGCAGCTCAAAATTGTAAAATTTTCAGTTATAATACCACGAGAGCTATGGCCTGAAGGGCCAGTGCACTGCTTTGCCGGGCAGGCTTAGCCTTGGGAAGCTTAAGCAGCGCTGAGCGTGTTCAGTGAATAGGGTGGTGACCACTTCTGCAGCAGCGATGGTTCAAACTCCAAACGAAGAAAGAACATTGGGAATAATAGATGCGAAATGCTAAATGGAAAGAAAGCATTCGTAAAAATTGAAAGGTATACGGTAATAGGATAATAATAATATCGATAACGACAAACAAATATTCATAAAATAACAAGAATACCACGAGAGCTTCTGTGACGTCCGTCGAAAAGTGATTTAAGTAAAATACATTCATTATTTTCCCTCTAAATTGAATGCAATGTCGTTCTTCTAAAAATTACAACTGAATTATCCACTAACGAGATGAATCGAAACTCAGAGGCACACAATTCATCGTTAATGAAGAGACAGTCGATGAAAAATAATAATAAAAATAATAATAATAATAATAACAATGATAGTAAACATAGAGAGTGATACGCAACATCTAAATTATTCTGCTACAATAAAATCAATGATTCCATAGAGAGCACTTGTTGCTCGTCACACGAAACCTCCGCTCACGATATCCACGTCCGAATTATTCCACATTAATTTGGAATCAGAGCGGCTTTTCACATGATTCTTTCATTAGGAATGGAATTATCTGCAGGTCAGTGAATCAAACTTAGCTGTTGTATAGCTGTGATCCCACCAGTCAGTTTAGTGCCGAATAAGCTTTGCGCTAATAGGAAAATAATATCGGCAACTGAATATGACGGGATCGATAACCAACATTTCAGAATAATACTAGTAATATCACGAGAGCTACTGTGAGGTCTTTTGAGAATTGCATTAAAATTCAGTATTACCTAATTAATTCTCTTCATATTTAAATAAAAAAACCAATTTTCTGGCATCAGATAAAAAAGAATCGTTACACTCATTGTTTTGGTATTTTTGTGAACACATAAACTCAGAAAAAAAATTGCCAATATTTGAAAGATATTTGGGGATAAGTAATTTTTCTTCAATCGGTTAATTCTCACTGGCGTCTTAACTCACGGTAGAAAAATCTCGTGCTTTAAAGAATTATTATACTCAAGAACTTTTTTAGTGCACTTCCAATGTTTCGATGTTCCAATGTAGCGCGGAACTATAGTCATAAAGAAAAATTTATTCCAGTTCCATGAAGCAAAACCATTCACTGTTAAGAATTTTCGTCTGAATTTTCCGTGCCAAATTCCGGAAATTTTTATCGTGTTCAAGTTCCACTGAAATTTCAAGAAATCTTGTCATTGAAAAATCAAATTCCATTGATTTTCGGTTAAAATTATCTGGAAATCAATAAAATACTTGATTTTTCCGTACAATTATTCTGTGAAAATTCAGAAAGATCAGGAAAATTCAGGAAACAATTGAAAATTCATGTGATTTTGTTTCTGAATATTCATGTTCCACTGAAAATTCAATCTAGTCGTGAAATGTCCATCTTACTCCCACTGAAAACTCATGAATTTCCGTGAATTCTACTTTAATCTTGAAATTTCATAACCATTTTTCCCTAAATCCGGTTCAATGTCACTCTCATGACATTTACTATAATATCTTTCATGAAATTTCAAAAAAATTTCTAACAGTGTTCTGAGATTTAAGCCATTGAAAATCATTTTTTTTCTCAAGTAAATATGGCCCACATATTCGGAAATTTTTCTCCCAGTGTGGCTGTCCAAAAAAGTCAAACTTCAAAATTATTGGGGATTTCCGATAGATTCGCTGCAAGAGAACGAAGGCGTCAATTTTTTTCTTTCATTATAACTGGAATTATTTGCATGTCAATGAATGAAACTTACGTGTTGTAAAGCTGTGATCCCACCAGTTAGTTTGACACAGATAAGCTTTGAGATCATCGGCAGTACGTCCGACGATAACAACCGGCGGCGCCACAACCGTACGAATTCCAAGAAATACACTGAATATCGTGACTATTATTCCAAGGCGTTTCAGCAGGTTCATGTCCGTTATCTTCACTGCCTTCGCTGACCTCACACGAAATATAACAGATATTCTGTGAAATTGAAGACATTCAGTTTTAGTAAGAATCATAGAGGCGAATTAACTTGGATCATGGTTCAAGTATCCATTTACGTTATTAGTGACACGTAAAATTCATCGATCGTTTGTCATTTTCGTTATGAGACGGTTATTCCGAACACAATTATTTTATCGGTAATTCAGTTTGTGCGAGCTAATTGATGGCCAACTGCCTCTGGGCAAAATCGGCGGAGCCACTAACTCTGTAAACTTTGCGGGAAATTGAATTTCCGGTATTAATATATTCATGACGCAATTTTCGTTAACTTTTGGTTAATTGTACATGTGCTTGAATTTTTGATGATATGATATGCCTGATAATGGGATAATCATCAAACTTTACACAAATTTGTCAATGTCTATTTGCATGGGTATGTCTATTTGGATGTATGTGGGTAATATTCGTACACACACACATAGAAAAACCTAAACGCTGTTTACTATTTTGTGTAAATTACGAATATTTATTCCGCATTTTACGTTTGCTTATCCTCAATTAATGACGAAGATAAAAAAGTTATTTTAAGCGTAACATACACTGTTTTTTTTTCACAAATTCCGGATAAGTAAATCGTAAAATACGTTTCTATTAAGATCGTATTTTACGATTTCTTAAGCGTGAAATACGCTTAGTGAAACGTAAAAGACGCTTTGCTTGGGCGTAATTTACGGTTTTATTCTGACCATAAAATACGCCTTTTCGAAGCCTAAATTCCAATTTTCATAACGGAAAAAAAAACACTAGACATCATATTAGGGTCAAACTTATGTTACGTTTAGGAGACCTCAAATTACGCTTAGCAAAATGTAAGTTACGTTTAGTTTTTTCTGTGTGCACTGTTGAAAACTTTTGGCTGACATTTACTGAAATAAATAATTTCCAGGAATGATGCATACATAGCCATCAGACACACCACACCCTGACGCACTTTAATATTTTTTCCAGCAAAATGGAACTAAAAAACTGAGAAGTCTACATCTAAGAAATTTTAGCGTTAAATCATATTTCCAACATTTGAGATAACCCACTACGATCACCCAACGGAAGTAAGTTAAGTACGAATATCCGTTGGTCTCTGCTGGGAAATCTCCTCCAGAGACTTCGGATATCACGAAAAAGTCTCCTGCGAGAGAAAAGAGAAGGAATAAAAAAACGAGAAGGATTGCCTCCTGCACCATCGATCTATGTCGACGATGGAAATGCACCAACTGACCTTGCCTCCGCGATTTTCAACTCTACCAGCTTCACCCTAATATATCTATAATCACGGTTTTCTGAAATTTCCACTGGTTTGTACTACTGGTGGTTACTAAGCCAGAACCCTCGTATGCAAGCCGCAATTTCAAACCGTAAATGGATTTTTCATGTTCCAATGGGGATTGATTTTCAGCTTGGTAATTACACAGCTGACACTACGTATTTACCTCGTGTATTTCCATGCGCTTGAACTGACATTTGATCGAAAGTGTAACAGCGACACCGGAAATTCAACTCCATTTCTATTTAACTGAAGTTTGCTTTTATTTATTGAATGGCCTATTTCACAGTTGCTGAATTTCCAGTGAATTACTTGAAATTAATTAAGAATTTGAATGGTATAGTCAGCCTGAGGTGCCACCAAAGGTACTACCAAAGTTTTCCACCAAGTATAAAGTTGGACTGTGTCAGAAGTATGTCGAGTTTGGCTTCAAACTTTGGATGGACTCGGGTAAATGAGTGCGACTGAATGCTGCCCATGACAAATACCTTTTTACAAGTTCACAGATTGATATTCTCAAGTTGCCCAATTTTTCATGATGACGTATATTTAAGATATATCCCAAGACAATACTACCCGAACGTTAGTCACTATGGATTTCCGGAAAAAATTCTAAATCACTTAATTTTCTTGTATTCTCATAAGTTATTGAGTTGTTCGATCCTCATGTGTTGTTGATGAAGGCAACAATAACTGTTTCAATCAAATAATAAATTTTTTGTTAATTAATTGTTTGAATAAACGCTCTCATTGCGTTTGGATTCTAGATAAAATTTTAATGTTTTCCGACAAACGGGCGAATAAAAACCTCTTGTTCACGATTATGTTTATTCACAGAAACAATAAGAATCATTTAATATTATCATTATAATTATTAGACACTGATTTATTCATTAATTTTTTTTATTCAAGTATAAATATTTTTTCTTGAGAATTAAGATAAAATAGTATATTTCGTTACGAGTGCGGAAAAGTGTTTTTTGGCTCGTGGGAGATTTATAGCACGAGCCGAAGGCGAACACTTTTCTCACGAGTATCAAACGATATTTTTCATCACAATGTTTTGAAAAGGGACGTTTTAGGCACGCGAAGCAATTCTATTTTAAGTTATTTTTATAACAATTATTCAATTGAATTGAGAGATGACGGTTACTCCATCAGAGAAATGACGCATTCGTATCAAATAAAACTCTTCCAACGATAGTTTCGATTACAACTTTTTAACTTTTTACTAGCTAATAAAGTGTTTATTGGGTGCAAATAAAAGTTTTATTATATTCCTTTCACATAAACCCATTTATTTGGTTCAAATAAACCATTTCTAGGTATTATATTCCACCACGCGTAAAAAATTTATTCAATTACCCGGATTTTGATGGGATATTCTCATGAAAGAATTTTCCAATAAATATACTAATATGTTTTATTATATTTGGTTCAAATAAAAGAGTTCTAGCTATTATTACATTCTACCACGCATAAAAAATTTATTCAATTACCCGGATTTTGATGGGATATTCTCATGAAAGAATTTTCCACTAAATATACTAATATGTTTTTGCCATGAAAGCCCATGAAACCTGAAATGTGTATCAATTTTTGCATTTCAGAGTATTGCAGGCGCCACTTTCTTCTTTATGACGACGCATGAAAACCCTAAGATGCCCGACATTTACGCTGCCGCACAACTTTTCTCCCTTCCTTCTAGCCTCGTAAATTCTCTAAATTTACCGTAAAGTCCTCTCATTCCGGGGAAAAACATTTCTCTACTGAATGGCGATTTTTCTTTTCATTCTGCTCGAAGATGATGAACGTCTTAATCCTGGAGGCATCTACTTTATGCATAGCAACCAGCAACGGCAACCATTCGAATCGAATTGATTCAGTTCGGTTTCATTTTTCTCAGTATTTCGTTTTCGCAAAAATGTCAATGTGTGATGAGTCCTTTGTCGACGTTGGTCACCCGATAGAAAAGGGGATTCTGGAACGGACAGGTTGAAGAACGAATAGAATGGGCGCGGTTACTTTCTTCTCTCGACAAGAAAGATGACGGAATATGCAGAGAAAAAATATTGAATTTTTTACTGTGCTGTTGAAAAATTACTCTTGAATATTGTAAGCAAAAAAATTGGAATTTTTTACGATGACTAATTATACATTGATGGAAAAGATGGAAGGATTTAGTTGCTGTTAACGGGGCTTATTAACTATTAATGGAATTTGTCAACTATCAACGAATGGTGTTAATAGTTAAAAAGTCTCGTTAACAGCAACTAAATCCTTCTATCGGTGCATGAAACTAGTTTTCTCATAAAAAAAGGGAATGGCGCCAAATTTATCAGTTTTCCTTTGACTTTTTCACCAACGGCTAACAACTTCTACAGTTCGTTTGCAGAAAATTGCGGTAGAAAAGGGAAAATGTATCCTTTGCCTCACGTTTTTTGTGTAACTACACACAAAACTGATGCACTTTGGGCATATTTCAACAATTAATTTGAGGAATATTCAATGGAATTGTCATTTTTAGAACCATTCAACAATAAAAATCTTTAAAAATTGTGAATATTCAGACAACTATTGTTTTCCTTTCTTGATACTTGAAATTTTTGTTGAATATCATGGCTAATTCTTAATCATTAGGATTATAATTTATTCATTCTAACAAAATTAATAATGAAATAATACAATTGTTTTGCCTAGACATCAAAAGTCTCGAAGAATATAACCGAGTAGACTTAGTAAGAAATATTGAGCCCCTTGTTCTATAAAATTTGCCTTTTGGCTATCAAATTTTTCATCTGAGAATCTGGACGGTAAAAGGAACTTAAGTTTTCAGAGGATACATGAATTTTTTAGTAGAGTCGGAAAGATTCGTAGTCACCACAATTCCGGAGAGTGAAATTTTTTTATGAACTTTTTGCCGATTTTACGGCAGTCTTGTCTCATACATATATGAGAGACTAGACGCTGCTAAATTTCAGCCTTTTAGAACACGGATGAAGTCATTGGTTTTTTTATTTCAGCGTTGCCTTGCTCGGAATACATGACCACTACCTTTTACCTTAGCTAAAATAATCCGGCTCACTCTTCCTTATTGCTTTGTGTCAGCGCTTCTTTCGTGCACATTTAGGAGATGATTTCGGAAATCATGGGTTGCAATACAAAAAGGTATTTTTATCTTTCACAGCAAAACAAATTATTTTGATCAATTTTTTTAGAATCTAAGGCATGGATAAGATAATTATAAACTATTCTATTTTCCGAGTGAACTATTTCATTTTACTGCATGATGATACCTCGAATAAAGAAAGGGGAATTGAGCACCAAAATTGTTTTGAAGATATTTTCTTAGCAACAAGGGACTTTTTGAGTCGATTAAAATTTACCAGTTCATTTTTGCTGCAGTCAGGTTCTTCAGACGTATTTGCCAAATTTTACGACAAGCTCGTTTGAAAAATGCTTTGAGAGTTATCTGCATCATTGTCATATTTTCTCCGCTTAAAATTTTTTATATAATACTCTTTTCTTAACTTGAACCGAAAACAAAATGCTGGCTAAGGAAGAGCTACGTTACATTGTTAAAAAATTTTGGCTGAAATTTCTCGTACACGTCTTGCAAATTTTTATCACGTCATAGTTTCACAAAAAATTTCACAACATTTGGTTATTGACGATTCGGAATTGTACGGGAAAGCCAATGGAAAGTGTAAATGTCGTTTAAATTATTCCATGAAAATTGATAAACATCAGGAAAATTCGGGTGAATATATCTTTGAATTTTCAATTAACGATTCAGCGTAATTAGCCACTGAATTTTCCTGCTTCAACTGACAATTCAAGTTCGCTGAGGAATTTTTGTCTTCTTGCTGCTCAAAAACTTGAAATTTCATTCAATTTTCAGTGAAATCTGAAATTTAATAATTTTTTCTACTTCGAATCAAAGTCAATGCCATTTCTTAAAAATTACTACTGAACTGTCCACGAAATTTAATTTTCTTAACAGCGTATAAACGTGTAAATTTTTTCCGCGATTATGCAATTTATTATAAAATGATTCAACATGTTCAAATATTGAAAATTAATGGAAGACTCATTGTAACTTGCGGGGTGAAAAAAATTAGTGCCTCAAGTTTTTCACTTGAAGTGAAAACTTCTCTCATCACCAAATTCCGAGTGAAATTCATTGTAATTCAAAAAGTTTCGGGTTGAACATCGTAAGAATGAGATGTCGCAACACAGAAAACCACAGATTTAGAATTAAAAGTCTATCGATAGCCACTTCATTTATAAAGAGTATACGGCGACATGAGTGCTGAATGCAAAAGGGAATCATAAAATTTTCACGATATTGAAGTTTTTATTCACGGTGTGGCAAGGAAAATATCCCCGAAACCAGTGGCTCAATGGCCAATTCATTAAAATTCTGAGTCACTTACCTCCACGTTTTCAGCATCAGTGCACCGTAAGTGAGGGAAAAACCGATTTCCCGGAGCCAGACGCGTACAGTACAGGTGACTACATTTGGTCTCGGGTACATAACGATCGTCTGAAATCATTTTCCACAATTCATGAAAATTCCTCCACGACAAAATTTGCGGAAATTTCTGCTTCAAGTGGTTTACTCGATTTAAGTCAACATTATTTGAATGAAATGACCTTATCCAAACAGCTCGTGCTGAAGTTTGGATGCCGGAGTGAATGAATTATTTGCTCCATATAATTGAAATATTTTCATTCAAATCGATAAACAAATTTCATAACAGAGATGGAAATCAACCTTATGATTCTTCAATAATAAAAGAATTTCCGAATTACATTGATTAAGATTTAAATATACTAATCAAAATTAAAAAATACTAAAATAATTGATAATCTAAACTTCCGATTGATGATGAATTATTTAATAATATGGAACAGTAAATTTTTTATCAAGTAAATAATACTAAATTCCTTATGGGGGATTTTCGATTATCCCAATAATCGTCAATTTTCCCAACTAAATTACTGATTAATACATAATTCAGAATTTAAATATCTAAATTGATGATAACTTTAATAACTGAAATTTAAGAGTGATATTAACGAATTGACTACTCAATAATTTAACGGTAATTATAATTTATGGATATGGCAATCCCTGTTTCACGGATATAAATTCCTTTGATTCAAATCCATTATTTCTACCAGAGAATAAATTCATTACATTCGAATTGACTTTCGTAACGAAACCATACAACAATCGTTGCGGATAAAGCAAACCAAACCCGATGGGACGAGTGAACTTAGAAACTGGATATTTAGTTTACATAAACTGACCAGCGCCGAAGCTTTTACTGCGAAGCGAGAAAATGCCGTAGGGCACCTGGAAGGTAATCGACTGTATCAGTGTTCGCGTCCGGGGCAATAACGTTACTCGGATACGGAAACTGTACTTGGTGATTCCAGGAATATACGTCCTCGGGTATATGAAACATTAACAGTGTGTACCATCATGAGCTCTGGTTTTCGCTCTGGTCATCCAATTGGCAGGGAAAAGCACTGGCCATGCTCAAAGGCAAACCTGGACATCTCGAATTCGGAAATTTACAACCCTGATGCTGTTGATTTTATCTCAACATGTTAATGTTCCGTGCTGTTCTCGTAATATGTTCTCTCAAATAGAGATGTTAAAATAGAGATGTTAAATTTTGTATAAAGAGGATGTTTTTGGTGGGACGTGACAAGAGGAATTTCACATTCTTCAGACAGGACTACTAGAATTCCGGAATTTTTTACGTGCTGCCCCCTCAAAAGACTCGAAATAAATAAATACAAATCATGAATGCTTTTTTATTTTGATGAATGCTCACCGTGCAGTAGATGAAGAATGCGCCTAGTAGTATCACTCGTAGTAGCACCGGACTGGCGGCTTTGACTACCTGTAAAGTAAACTTTTGTGAAAATCGATAGAAAAGTGGGAAAAAATTCTAATATCTGAAACATATTTACTTGAGACAAGTAATGTTTCTTCAGTCGATTATCTCCCCGGTACCTCTACTCCCGTGGCCCGAGAAAGGCCTCATGCTTTAAATTATTCAATCAAGTATGATTTTGTTGCAAATGGACTCACTCAAATCGCGGAGAAGCATCGTCAATCTTCAATTATTTAGTGTTTTGATGATATTTTTTTTATGCACTTCCAACGTTTACTATTGGGGGACGATTGATGAAATAATTAAAAAATTGCAATTCTTTAAAATTCCAAGCCTTTTCTATAAATTTATAAACAATCAATTTTCCACCATTAAAGTCACTTGTTCGGAATCGTAACACTTGACTCCTATTCAGAATTTTACCAGAAACCGATTTCATGTCTAAAAAAATGAGGTTTCCGAAAGTTCAAACAATTTCACTTATTCATTATAAACAACGAATGTATCAAAAAATAATAATTCTGTGCAAAATGTAGTTTGAATGACGCTGAATATTCACGATATTTTTAAAATTAGTCGAATCTATAGTGTGGTCTGTACCAAACTGTAAAAAATACTTGGATATCTTTAAAAAATCTCTAAATCCACATCTGATCCGTCCACAGCTGTGAAACGTACTCAGATATGTTCGACACCAGAAGAATTCTCAATGCAAAAATGCTCTTTCCCGTTGACAATTGATGACAAATTACCTGAGTCAACTCATTGTAATTCCTTATCAATAACAGTACCCCATGAATATTGAAAAATGTCAGCTCGAAACACGGCGCATAGCCAGCAGGTTTGTGACCTTTACCGGCGACTCCAACCCTGCAGCTTGATTCCAGGAAATCGCCAGTATTGAGCAGTCGGAACTGGTTGCATTTTCCTCGTCTGGGGCTCTGAATAATTCAAGGGTGCGCGTGGACATCATGCCAACCAAGCAGGTATATAGATCCATCTATAGCCATTGGTGCTAGTGACCCTAGCCGGGTTTACTCACATTAAGAATTCGTTCGGAGATGCCCTCTAGTCTCCCCTATCGAGCGTAAACCTGACCTCTTCAAATACACCTGCGCATTCTTTCAAATTTCGCGATTTTTCCTGGCTTGCATGTCACTTTACCACCGAACTACGTGGCAATATACATTATTACCATAAAACCAGCCGACTATGATAAGTAGTAGAACTTTTTATATCCGCCATTTAGTCACTTTGTGCTAGTATGCAGGCTGAAGTATGAGGGGAATAACTCTCTAACAAAGTCATGAACTTTAGTACTGAGACATATTTCAAATTTTGCAGACGCTGAAAAATTCATGAGCCCCCATAATTCACGGTACGTTTAATTTCCGGTCAGGGGGCTTGCTGTACATATCTGCATAATTCTCGTATTGGATTTTATGCTCAAAGATTAAACTATACAGTGAACCATCTTTACGCAAACTTTTGACGAGATATATTCGTGCAATTAATTATCTCCTCTTATAGAAGGATTCATGAATTGTTAAAGGGCCATCTTTCTCACTAATAAAGAGTCCTGTTGAATGTGAACTACAAGGAAAGAAATGTGTAAGGAAAAATGTCCCGAAGATAAGGGTAAAAATCAATGAACAAAATGTTATCGTGTAGCAGAATGGAAATTTAATGAATATTTCTATTTTTTGTATGTGAATTTTTAGGGCATTGTTCAAAAAACAATAAAATTTCATGAAGAGCTCAGTAGTAATTACCAGGAAAATAATGTTGACTTCGATTTATGGAGGGGAAAACCATGGAATTTCAAATTTCACTGATCATTTTCCTCACTCAAATTCCAGCCGATATAATTACACCATTCAAAGTTATTTTCTAGAGCTTACACGGTAATTAAGTGATAATTTTTTTTATGTTGCTGGTATATTTAAAACAAATACGGATAAAACTCAAAACTTCCATCTCTCAACTGCCAATTTGGTCTTACGGTGCAATTCTCTTGGCCGAAATTTGGAAGAGAAAATTATCTCCCAAATACCGCTCCAGGTTCAAAATTAATAGAGTATTTCCCTCAAGAAAATGCCTCATTTCGGTGGCTTTCCTGCATACAAATGAACTCGTCAAGCGTTTCAGAAAAATCTCTTTCCATGATTTTTGTTCAATAAATGATAATTTCTTTGGCTTATCGATCAGTTTATAGTCTAAATTTAAATAGTACCAACGTGTCGACCAAGACTCCGAGTCCTCCTTAAGGTAATTTTATATAAATCTGTTGGAATGAACAATGATCCATATTAGTTTATGATAATTGAAAAAAAAATTCTTTGAAGTGACTATAACTTTTAAAAAATCTCCACAAACCATTACAGTAGTTGTATAGATGTGAGTTGATAACGTGTTTATAGTGATGTTTGCATAATGTGTTTAGAGCAGTGTTTTGAGAAAAATACTGGAAAAACATTTTCCGGGTTTCTTCAACCTGGAGAACTCGACTCCTTCATTTATTTGCAGTTACTTATCGAGAATACCCGTTAGTCAGTTCCCCTGGTAGAAGGATCCATTAATTGTTGATGAGGTTTGCCATAATTAAAAATGCCACTGTTCAACAATTCTGAATTTACGTTATAAAACGTTTCTTCCTCTCATAATAATGGTGTTTCGTATAACAATAATGGACAGCGAATTGACTATTAAAAAATGATTGGTTCTGTGGAAACTTGATTTCTTGAAATAATGGAAGTTGATTGATGAACTAAGCAAATTAAGACTTCTTAAGGCGTTAATATCCACCGGAATACGTGTCTCGACTTTTCGCTTTCAATTATCCCCCCGAAGAACAGCGATCGGGCCGAGAGCGTGCTTTTATGATTCATTAATATGAATGAAATATGGGTACTGCTAAAATCAGGTCGGGAAAGATGAAGGAAATAGGCGGAAGGGTAACAGCTTACGGAAGGGGTAGAACATCAGATGTTAATCAAAAGCAGAAATTCCAAGATGTGGAAAATGGAAAATTATTTTCAAGGATATGTCATTGATTTTCAGGAACACGTCATTGATTTCCTGGGAGATATTCCAAATTTTTGAACAGTGAGATGAGAATTCCTCAATCCATTTGAATTTTTAATTCATTGACAAATCAAGAACATATTTACCGGAATTTTGTTGATTTCTACTAATTATCAGAGAATAAATTTATAGTTCTCATTGATTTTTCCATTAAATTTTGAATTTCCAATGACGAAATTCAAAATTCACCAATAATTGTGGATAAATTCCTGAAAATCAGCAACATTTTCTTAACAATCAGTGACATGTCCCTGAAAATACAAAAATGTCTCCCTATTTACAAAAATATAAGTTATTCGACTGCCGATTGATGGTGGAGTGCCTCGCGTTCTCGAAATTCAAGCAAAATTCTTGGATCATTCTCGAAGCGGAAGCAGATCTATTGAGAATGATAAATTCTGTCGCTTTTCGGATGAACAATTAGTCCCCCAGAAGACGTCCCAAGCACTCTCCTTAATACCCATTGGATTCCCTTCGAGCTGAACGATCCCTTGGCTGGCATTCCGAGCGAAATATTCTGAATACTGTCCATTGCATTCGATGGCAGTCTACTATATCTTGAAATGAAATACCTGGGCATTGAAATTGTTTCATGCGGACCTGACTGTATTCCGAATGCTTCCCACGTTCCACATGACGGGACATTTTTCATCTCGTGTCAAAGTCGGAAAAGTAGAATAGACACGAGAATAGAGCTATGAAACACCAGAGAATACATGCCGCTCCAACAAAGCATCATTTATTAGCAAAAGACGGTGGTGGATGGTAATTGTCGGGTGTTGTGTAGCATCCCGGAGAGGGTTTGTGCACGGAGGGGAAAAAAAATATTAGCCAGCAGCACTGACGGCTTTAAGCTCGCGGCATGATTTATTGTTGGAGCGGTAAAGGTAGTTGTGTTTAATGTGTCGCGAGATGTATTTGCTGTGGTTTCTGTTTACGCTTTCCCCCACGGCACGAGAATGGAAGTGATGTTTCCGGGTAATGGCAGGCCTCGATGGAATCCTCAGTAGCGATATCATAATGCATTAACCCAGGAGTATTGGCTTGTATGTGACCGAAGTATTTGGAATGGCTGTTCAGTGGACAATGGACATGTACGTGGACACTTGTTGGACATAAGTCCGTCGGTGCCAGGCATCCGATGACGTGGCTCACTGAATGTCATGCTGATCGAAGTGGATCGAGTGTCAACAGCGGTGTTTACGTGATAGGAATGGTCTATCGTGTATTCTTGGAGATGGTGGGGATTTTCAAGCGATTCCGTTGGAATATTTACTGAGGGGAGAGTCACTTATGGGTGACTTATCGCAGACACAGTCGGATATTTTATGTCCTTGAGTTCTTAACATTTATCCCGGGTGTAATTTTCCAGTCACCCAGTTGAACCGCTTACTACCTGAGCTTCCTACCACCCCTCGTCTTTTGTGATATCAACTCGTGACATTTTAATGAAATGTCAAGCGTAAATTTTAATCGTATGAAAATTGAATGAACAAATTGTTAGTTCGGAGTAAGTGGGGATGATTTTTACTCTCATTTTGAGAGTTATATCCAACTCAGGAATTTCATCAGAGGCATGAGAACCATGATCAAGGCTGAAAAACAACTCAAAATTAAGTAATCGTAAAACGAAATTGCGTAAATTAATTTCAATGGGTTAAATCTCAGAATGTGTGCGCTTTGCGGAACGCGAATAAATTTTCATTTATCATTTATTCTCATTTATTCCGCGTTACATCATGAATATATTACACATCGAAACATTGAAAGTGCATAAAAAAAATCAAATAAATATTTGAAAATTCACGATTCTTCTATGCGATTTGAGTGAGTTCATTTGCTACAAAATCATACTTGAGTACAAGAATATTTCAAAGTATGAGATCTTTCTCGGGGCGGCGCCAAAGGAATCGTAACCTTCC